AGTGTGCTTTGGTTTGCTATTCCTGGGTTTGACACTCAAAAGCCCATCTTGAGGTATTTAGAAATGTGTTAATTGTGTTAAACAGGAGCTCATTTCCTATTACAATGTTAGTGAAGCTAAACCCTTTCTAATATGGTTTTGCATGTTTTGGTGATATGAGATTTCTGCATTCATGTACACTTTCAAAAGCAAATTTATTCCTCCTTCTAAACATTAATTTGTGTATATATTAACAAGAGTTTTAAATATTCATAATAGATTGTTTAAACCATTAACTATTCCTTTTCTATCGTGAATTTCCTTTCAAATGAGTTGAACCTTTTTATTAGAGTAGCCACTTTGACTATTTTTGTTTTCTATATTAGTAGTGATTAAAAGAGATTTAAAGTAAATAAATTCTTGGTTTTAAGAGGTGGATTTTACAAAAGATACACAAACAAAAAGACAAACCACACAATGAGCAACCTACAGAGCATAATTGTCATAAAATTACCCATTCTATAGCAACCAACCATCAAAGCAACTAGAAAACCATCAAACTGAAATAGCAAAGGGTTTAGATGAGCTTAGAAACCCAGGTTTGGATTTTTACAAATAACCCAATACTCTAAAACCATAAATCTCAACCAAGAGGGACCGGAGAGACAATGGGCAAAAGGTACAGGAAAAGAGGAAGGGGACTTGACCATAGGAATAGGGAGGAGTGAAATATTGAAGTGGAGCTAAAAGATAATGAAATAGAGATGGTGGAAGTAATATTGAGGGTAAAAACAATGAAACAACAAAAGATGGTGAAGAAAAGAGTAAGTCAATAGAAAAGAGAAAATAGGGTGAGAGGTGGTGGAAATGAAAGAACAGACGATGCTTGAGGCAATCATGAAAGATGAAATAAAAGAGAAAAAATAACCTATATCTAGGAAAGAGTGGTGAAGGATAAGAGAGATAGTAGAGACAGTGAAGAATGGCAGGTGGAGTTGAGGGCGATGGAAAACAAAAGATGAAAAAGGATGCAAAAGGTTATAGCTGAAAGAGAGAAGGAAAGCTTTCTCAGGAAAAGATAACTAAAGATAGTCAAATGAGAAAGGAAGGGCAAGCAATCGTATAGAGAGATAAGCTGTCTAAATAGCAAGACGAGAGCTCCCCTTGAAAAGATTTATCGTCTGCTTGGACTTAGAGAAAATAGGGGAAGAAGAAAAAGTAGGGTGGAAAATGGAGAAGGAACGAAGTTTTTCTCTACTTGGATGAAAAATAAAATAAGAAAGAAAGGAAAAGACATCCTATTTCCCCCCAAGATTTCACTCCACAGTCCATAAGTAGAGAGATTTTCACACAAGAAATTCATTCCCATCATTGCCCTCTATGATCATAATGTAAGACATTTTATTTTATAATTATCAATATTAATTTTAATGATGTTATTAGTGACATTTTCATGATACTAATTTCTCATGTTATTATTAGGGGTGTTCACGGGACGGATCGGGACCGGGACAGGCCCGTCCCGGTTCCGTCCCGATGAACAGTAACGGGACAGATTTTCTGTCCCGTGTCCCGGCCCGTCCCGGGGTTGTCCCGGTCCCGGTCGGGACGGGACGGATCCGGGACGTCCCGAAATAATTTTTTTTATTTTTTTTATTTTTTTAATTTTTTTTTTTAAATCTAATTTTTTTAATTATATTTTTTTGAGCTTAAATCTTATAAAAACATCTTTTTTATTTGTTTGGGCACTCTTAAACAAAAGCTCAAAATATTACATATAATAGTTATTAAAAACTCTAAACAAAAGCTTTTAACACAATAAAAACTTGCTAAAAATTCTAATCATCAATAATCTCAAATCATTAACAAATATAAAAACTCTAAATAAATATATTCATAGTTCCATACAATAGTCTCAAATCTTAAAAAAATATGAAAAAAATGATATTATATAAAAAATTAAGAAAATTAATTTTTTTTTAAAAAAAAGGAACCGGGACGGGACCGGGACGGGACGACCCCGTCCCGTGTCCCGTCCGTCCCGGTCCCTTTTTTGTCCGTCCCGGTTTGTCCCGTCCCGAAATTCCGTCCCGTCCCAATAAGACCGGGACGGAACGGGCCGACCAGGACGGGCCGGCCTTGAACACCCCTAGTTATTATAGTCTTTCATTTTATTCGATTTTTATCATTTTATTAAAATATTGAATAATGTATAATTTATTTAAGGAAAATGACACATAAAGAAGCTTGAAAATGCGAAGTGAGAATTTGAAAAGCTAAGGAAATATAATGACAGAGAGGGAAGTTCTTCCCAAATTAGAATTTTAAAATTTAGTAAAATGACAAAAATACCCTTTATCTTTTTTATAAAAAAAAACTTAGCCCCTCACTGGGGGCCGGCCACTGGCAGCCGCCAGGCACCGGCACTAGCTACGAATGTGGTGGGTGTCAATGAAGTTTTTTTGTCATAATTTTTTTTTTTGCATGGGAGAATATGATTCAAAGTTGCGGGAGTGGGATTTGATCCCATAACCCCTTGGCTATTTAGGCCAACAAAAAAGAAGATGACCATTGGGCTATTAAAGATTTCTTAACATTATAATGTAAACAAAAATATAAGATGACTCTTTTACTATGACTTCAACCTGTGACAACAATTTACCTGAGGATGACAAGTCTTAATTGAGAAATAACAAGTCTAAATTTGATATAACAAAACAACTTTTCTTGATACATAACAAGAAGTAACATATATATTAATTAAAAATGACCATAATTTATTTGAAAATGACACGTCTTTACTAGAAAATAACAAGTCTAAACTTGAATTAACAATATGTCTTTTCTTGATATATAACAAGAAATAGCATATACATTAATTAAAAATGATCATAATTTATTTGAAAATGACACGTTTTTATTGGAAAATCACAAGTCTAAACTTGATATTAACAAAGCAACTTTTCCTGATACATAACAAGAAATAACATGTACATTCCCAAATAAATTGTTGTCATTTTCCATTAAAAACATGTCATTTTCTACTAAAGAAATGTCATTTTTAAATAAATTATAGTCATTTTTAATTAATGTACATGCTATTTCTTGTTATGTATCAGGAAAAGACACATTGTTAATCTCAAGTTTAAACTTGTCATTTTCCAGCAAAGACGTGTCATTTTCAAATAAATTATGGTTATTTTTAATTAATATACATGCTACTTCTTGTTATGTATCAGGAAAAGTTGCGTTGTAAATATCAAATTTAGACTTGTTATTTCTCAATTAAGATTGTTATCCTCAGCTAAATTGTTATCACAGGCTGAAGTCACAGTAAAAGAGTCAACTTATATTTTTATTTGCATTCTAAAATTAAGAAATTTTTGATGGCCTAATGGTCATCTTCCCTTTTGTTGGCCCAAATGGCCAAAGGGTCGTGAGATCAAATCTCACCCCCGATACTTTGAACCATATTCTCTCATGCAAAAATATATATATATATTGGACAAAAAAAACTTCATTGGAAGCCACCACACCAGTGGCCGGCACCAATGCCCGACGGCGGCTATCGACCGTAGATGGCCAATCGCCGGCGGTGGCTGCCTACTATCGGCTTCCGGTGAGGGGCCGACATTTTTTAAAAAAAAAAAAACAAAGGGTATTTTTGTCATTTCACTGAATTTTAAAATTCCAATTTGAAAGGACTTCCCTCTCTGTCATTACATTTCCTTAGCTTCCCAAATTGGCATTTCACATTTTCAATCTTCTTTATGTGTCATTTTCCCATTTATTTATTTTCTTTTATTTTATTTCATTAAAAAATCCCATTTTTTTTTTTTCACTTAAAAAAATTTCTTTTGCTAAATTATTTAGTTTCGTTGCTGATTGTTGATAATAAGAGTATCTTGGTCATTCTGACATTTACTCATTTCTTTTTCTTTCTATTTTCTCTCACCAAGTAGGATGAGTGACAATATTTTCATTCTAATTTTCTTTTTGTTATGAAAAATAAGAAAAGTATCAAGATTGAGATGAGAAAGATGGAGAAAATAAGAGGAAATTGGAAAAGAAATTAAATAGGAGTTCTCATTCGTTTCATTGTCTCAAATGTGTGTACATCATCTCCTATTTATAGGACCCCAATATTGAAGACTAATCTAAGGAGTTACAAGTACATAAAGAAGAGAATTAAGCAACATAATTGTACAATCAGAAGTTATAAGAAATAAATACTAGAAACCCATCAGTTTGGGAGTTATAAGGTATAATGCCATTAAACATGAGAAAGAATCCCAAAGGGCTAAGAAGTCATGAACATCCACACAACATAATATTTATAACACTCCCCCTTGGGTATTCATAAACAAATATTGTGCCTTATTAAAACCTTACTAGGAAAAATCCAATGGGACAAAAACCTAATGAAGAAAAAAATACACAATATACATTGAACTTGTCTCCTTAAAAACCTTGACAGAAAAATCCCATGGACAAAACCTTGGTTAAGTAAAAGAGTACAGCATGGTCTTTATTGCGCTAATGATAATGTCACTTTTAATCCCCCTAATAAGAAGATCACTTTTTCTCAAATGAATTATTTCTAATCCTTTTTAGATTATATATTTCTTTTAAGGGTCAAGGTGCAAAAATACCTATAACCTTATACCATATGTTCACCCAACACCATAACCTTTTTCGAGGTGCAAAAGTGACTATAAAAGTTCAATAACGTAGCAAAAGTGACAATCCCATTAAGTGTTAGTAATGCTGACCGTTAAGGAGAGTTAGTTTGACTGAAACGACTGAGTTGGAACGACACGTGAGTAGGTGGCAGGATGAATTGCTGACTGTAAATGCACCTGATGGTGAGCCAAAAACGCGGCAGATAAGAAATGAAAATTAAAAGGCATGGTGTGGGGCAAGAAAGTAAAAGGCACTGTCTGAGGAATCACGAGGAAGACGAACGACATTTGCGACCATAGAGCAAAAGTGATTGAGTGGAAGAATCAACGGTTACGGGGATGCAGGACCACACTGAGAAAGAGGAATCGCATGTGATCAAGGATTCTAGGGCAACATCGTGGCAACGAAGCGACAAAAAAGAACCCCCCAGTAAGCATCGTTTGGGACCCATAAATCAATTATTTTTGTTTTGAGTACAGTGAAATCCCACAGAAGTCCTTGTTCTAATGTGTATTGTGTTTGGTGGCAGGAAAAATGGCATCGGGTGGCGAGGACAACATTGTAATCGAAGAGGAAAGCATAGAAGAGGAGACACTGGAACAGAAGCATAGGAGATTATTGAATAAGGTAAACGAAATATGCTGTCTTGCTAAGAGAAGTTGGGAATAGACTAAGATAAAATTGCGAGAAGGCCATAGCTCTATCTTAGAAAGTATTGATGCCGCTGTAGAAAAGGAAAGACAGAGATGGAGGGAGAAAAATGAAAATGAGAAAGGCAGAGAGGGAAATGATAGAGCTGACAGTGAAAATAAAAGAGGTAGAGAAGATAATAATGGTGAAACATGAAATGAAACATGTGATGAGGAAGACATTATTGAGGATATAGTAAGGTTGAATGATTTTGATGAGAATGAATTAGAATTTCACGACTTAGATCTTGAGTTAAATAGCAACATAGATGATGGTAGGTTAGAAGAAAATAATGATAATGACATAGTTGTTGTGGAGAATAAGGTGGCTGCTAATGAAAATGGTAGGGACAAAGGGAAAGGGAAAGTGGCAATGGATTTTGGTGAGGAAGATGATAGGGACAAAGAGAGATCAGAGGAAGATGATAGTGATGATTGGGACAAAGACAGCTCAAAGGAAGATGATGGTGATGACAGAGACAAAGAGATGTCAGAGGAAGATGATAGTGATGAGAGGGATAAAGAGATGTCAGAGGAAGATGATAGTGATGATGCAAGCTATGAGGCGTTAAGTGCAAGTGAAGATACAAAGGAGACTGTGTTTGAAGACTTTGAAGTGTATGAGGTTTGTATAGAGAATGGGAGTGACTATGATGAGGATGAATTGGGCTTAGAAAGTGATAATGGGCCTCCTCTATAGTTCACAGCCCTTGATGAGCCTGAGGGCTCAGCTAGCAGGCCCTTCTTTATGTTGGGCATGACCTTTATGGACAAAATGGAGCTGAAGAGGACTTTAGATAGGTATGCTATAAGAAAGGGCGTGGATCTAAAGATAGAGAGGAGTGACAAGAGGTTAATGAAAGTTGTATGTCAAGATGGATGCCCTTTCCTCCTTTATGCTTCTCGAGATGGGATGAATTTAGGGTTCCAAGTGAAGACACTATGCTATGAGCATGGGTGTACACGTGTGTATAAGAACCCTAGGGCTTCTGTGAGATGGTTGGCTGATCACTTCAAAGAGAAGGTGCAAGAGATGCTCAATTTAAAGTGAGCGAGATGAAGAAGGAAGTAGAGTTGGACTTAAAGGTGAACGTGAGCTTGCATAAGTGTAAGAGGGCAAAGAGAATGATAATTCAAGAGATGGAAGGTAGCTTTACAGATGAGTTTGGGAGATTAGAGGCTTATTGTAATGAAGTGAGGTCATCAAACCCAGGGTCAGATGTGAGCGTTGAGCTAAGCCGAGAGGCATTAGAGCAAGGGAGAAGAGTCTTCAAAAGAATGTACTTATGTTTCAATGCGAGCAAGGTAATTTTGTAATTTTTTGTCTTCATACTAGTAATCGTCCTTTATTGTTGCCTGTCTTCTTTGATTGATGAGGTTTGATGTAGGTTGGATGGAGGACAGGGTGTCGACCTTTGATTGGGGTGGACGGCACATTTTTGAAAGGGAAAGCAAAGGGAATACTTTTGACTGCCATGAGTTTAGATGCGAATGATTCATTATACCTGTTGGCGTTTGGGTTGGTCTCAAAAGAAAATGGGCTTCATTGGACTTGGTTCCTTCAATGGCTACAAAGGTCATTTGATCTAGGTGATGGTGAGACTGTAACAGTTATGAGTGACATGCAGAAGGTAAAACAAAAATATTTCATTTGCTCTTTCTTGCATTTAAGTGGTGTAGATGTTTAGACTGTATTGTAAAATTAATTTATTTCTGTCTTTGCAAGGGATTGGGAAACGCAATGAGTGAGGTGTTGCCTCATGCAGAACACAGGCTGTGTGCAAGACACATTTATGCAAATTGGAGTAAATGCTGGAGAGGCAATGAGCTTAAGAAGAAGTTCTTCACCTGTGCGTGGAGTTCATTCGAAGAAGAGTTCAAAGACAATCTAAGGTCTCTTGAAGCATTGAGCAAACCAGCAGCTCAAGCCATGGTTACTTATGATCCTCATGCATGGGTAAGGGCTTATTTCACACCTAGGTGTAAGTCTTGGAGTGTAGACAACAACATGAGTGAGTCATTAAATGCATGGATAGATGAGTATAGGTTCTTGCCAGTTATTCGAATGTTTGATGGTATTAGAGTGAAGATGATGGCTAAATGGGCAGATAGTGAAAATAATGTTAGGAATTGGACTGCTGATCATAGTCCCAAATGTATAGAGCTGTTTAAGTCAAATAGGATGCTTGCTGTGTATTGTAGAGTGAACTTTAATGGTGATAAAGCTTTTGAGGTGACAGAGAGGCAAGATAGGCATACTGTATACCTATCTAGGCAGATGTGTACTTGCAGAGCATGGGATTTAACAGGAATCCCATGCCAACATGCTATCTGTGCAATGTATCACGCCAAAATTGACCCTAGAACCCAAATTTCCCATTATTATCACAAGGATACCTACCTAGCTTCGTACCAAACAAAGCTTCAACCTGTAAGGGGTAAACAATTTTGGGACACTGTAACTTTCCTCCCTATGCAACCTCCACCGGTCACTAACTTGCCTGGCAGACCAAGAAAGAAGAGAATTAGAACAGAGGAAGCAGAAAGAAGGAAGAAGAAGTCTGGTTATGGTGCAGACCCAATCCCAATGCCTGTCACTCCTCCAACTAACCAAAGTCAACCACCTCATGCAGAAAAATTAAGTAAAACTGGCAAGCATCACAAATGTGGGATTTGCAATCAAGAAGGGCATAACAGAAGTACATGTAAACAGGTAAACCACTTCACATAAATTCCTAGTCTTTTATATTTGTGGAAGTACCCATTTTGCTTCCATGTCCATGGTTTTTAAACTCCTTCTTCTTCAACACAGACTCGGGTTCTAAGAAGGAAAAAACATCTGCCATCACAATCCTCTCATGACCAACTAGACCCACCATCCCAAGCTTCCCAAGAGTCACCACAACCAAGTCAGCTGACTCAACCATCCCAAGAGCCACCACAACTGACTCAGCCAACTCAACCATCCTAAGAGCCACCACAACCGACTCAGCCAACTCAACTATCTCAAGAGCCAACTCAATCATCACTGCATAGATCTCGCAGGAAGAAATGTGTGTACAAGTCAAGAGGATCATCAAGGATGGGTATAAGATATGATGAATCCACAGGGCGTATGGTTTATAATGTGAGCCATGTTTAAGTCATTTATTCTACTTTTATATTTATGCTTACTGTCTCACTTCTCCATATCTCATTATGCAGCCTGGATTAAGATCTCAAGTTCTCATTCAAGAAGGGATAGCTGAACATTATATGACCCATTATGCAGATCCATAGACCAAATTTCCCATACCCAAAGAAAAAGAACTTCGAAGGTCCGGGGCTGTCACTTCCAACGCACTTGATGGTTCAAGGTTGATTAAATTCCATCCCTAGGGTCCCACTGTATCACAGCTTCCAGTTCAACCTCCTCCTTTGCAGTGGAGGGGTCAACCTTGTGTCACAACCTCCCAACTCTTGGCACAGCAAAGCACCATGATGCGAAGGACTAAGCACAGCTCCAACAAGTCCACTATTTAGTCTCATTAGTATTTTATTTTTAGTATTATTTGTTGGATGTATTTTGGATGACTTTGGGTGATTTTTTATTATTGCTGTTAATGTTGGGACCACTTGATTCATATATTTTGGGTGGCTTGTTTTAGGATGCTTAGTTGGGCATATATGGACCCTTTGACTTATGTACAGTGCACAATATTTTGGAATTATGCAAAGTGCACAACATTTATCTGCACCCCATTTATAATTACTCTATCATTACTTTATAATTAGACATTACAATTCAAATAGTACAACATATCATAACCACATTGAACCCTTTCAATCAGCCATCATTGCTCATATACAAAATAAAGAAGCACACCCACGTTATAATCAGTGTTCCCATTGCAATTTTAAACTTCAATTTCGCTTTCTTTACTTCACTTCTCTACGCCCCATCTCTGCCCTTCAACTTTCGCAACTCACCATGTATAGCCACCATCTCCTCATATAACTTCTCACTATCATTCCCTCTTCGAAGTTTGGTGTTTTCCTCGTACAACTTGTCTATGTCATCTAGCAATTCTTTGATCACTGCATTTGCTCTATCACCAAACTCACCATCGTGCCATGCAAAAAAAACCACAGCCCCCATCCTGTAGAAATTCATCAACACTGGTTAAATGCTTCCCACAATATCATCTATCATTTCAATCCCACCACACTTACTTGGTAATAGTTCCGGCAGCTGTAGAACCTCCGTCCTGGGTTTCCTTCTGTCTACGCTGTCCAACGGGGAGCTACCAACCTGTGATGGCAGTACCTCGTCGGCCCTTCGTACGCCTCCTCGCGACTCGGTTGCCTTATCAATGAAACCCTCCTCCTCTTCCGTGGACTCACCGAACTCGCAGAAGATGCCATCGACCTTCATCTCAATTTCTCCCCTTCGCGATGCTCTTCACTTTCCTCTTCGCTCGCTACTTGACACACGCACAGTGTAGGAGGTAGGTGTGCAGTTTAATTGATATATTCAGATCCCCTCACCCACGTCTGCAATAGTCAACAAGCAATTAATCACACCTGTCCCCCAGCTGGCGATTACTTCACGGCCATTACTAACACTTAACGGGATTGCCACTTTTACTACATTATTGAACTTTTATAGTCACTTTTGCACCTCAAAAAAGGTTATGGTGTTGGGTGCACATATGGTATAAGGTTATAGGTATTTTTGCACCTTGACCCTTCTTTTAATCGATCCAAATATGATGCATTGCCATCATATAAAAATTTTAAATAAATTCCTCCAACATATCTTTTGGATATGCTAGGTTATCAATATACGCTCCACCTGTCTTATACATTGTGAAAATAACAACAAAAAAGTTATTATGAAAATCATCAGGATATATCTTGCATCTACATGTTCAATTGGTTTGAACACAATAATCTCATATAATAGTTTCATAGTAATATAACATCAAATAGAAATTTCATTATTCACTTGTTTACCTATAGAAATTTACTAAAAGAAATCCATAACAATATATATATTGCAGACAAAATATATATTATTATAGAGTGAATAGAAAGGACTTTTAGTCCATTAAATTTAATATATTTTTGTAGACAAAATTACTATAACAAAAATCCATCATTTTGCAGTCACTGAAATATTCCATAACTTGATTTATAAGTCAAGTAAAATGCAAAATTATTTATTTTTCAATAAATTTTTCTGAATTAAATATATATACTCATATTATTTTAATCCACGCAGCATTTCATATATTGTATTATTTTGATGGACATGTGATAACATCTCAAAATTCCTACAAATTTAGCTTGTTTTAGCACTCTTTTATAGTTTTTGGAAGCTATTGGTGTAGGATTTTCCTCTTAAAGTTATATAACATGATTTGTCAAAGTGAATTTTGACTTATGCTAACCATTCGGGGATTATTGGTGCAAAGCATAATGCTTTGTGCAGGTAAGTGCAAGAGCTGAAAGATGATTACAAGGAGAAAGATTCAACTAAGTATGGGTAGTCAAGGAAGACCAAAGGCCTGGAGCAAGCAAGGAAGAGAGATCAGAAGCAAAGAAGCTCAAAAAGAGACCAACAGTCGCGACGCATGGAGAAAACTATCATAGTGGCTTTAATAGAGAAAGAAGGATGCCATTATGTGCGAGGTGCCGCAAGCTATCTCAAGAACATGCTATTCGGTGCAATCCACTGCAACCTTTATCACACCTTACTTATATAATATCTTAGAATCCATTTAGAATCCTTTTTGACCACATTGGATGGTCTTGAGCTCAAAAATCTCCTTTAGGACGTTACTTTTCCAAAATTACTGTTCACTGTGCAAAATTCAGATTACAGGTCCAACTTTGAAAAATTATAACTAATTCTACAAAAATCATATGGAGGTTTTCCAAAATTATACGAAAAGCTCTTTCAATTCTCTTTAAGGGAAAAATACCCAATTGTACTTATTATTACCCAATTCATACAATTTATTGGATAACGATTACTGTTTATTTGGTAAAATCTGGACTTTCCAGATTCTGTGCCTAAACTTTGGAAATTCATATCTCCTTGTGTACACATCCAAAAAAGGTGATTTACCTCTCATTTTAAAGCTTGGGATATGTACTATGAGACTGCCAAAACTCGTGACTTAACTCATTTGTTTGATAGGCCAAACTGAAGTCCAAAACTAACTGCTGCAAGACCTACGTTTTATCCCTTAACTAACTTTTGCATTAATTCTTTTAATTTCTTTGACATACATAACATGGGCTTACTCTTTCCCATTCATACTCATGCACTTTTATTCATTCCATAAACATTATAAACACATATATTGAATTGATGGAATTCATAACATAAATTTACAACATAGGAGAATTATATATTGAACATAATCTCAATCATTAACGTCAATAATTGTCCGCTTTCTTCTCCTTGCTTCTCATGCCATTAGTTCCCATCATTGATTGACCTAAATGGTTGGTTAGGTAGGGGTGAGATTCAAGGGAATCTCAGTAGCAAACAATACCATATTAATCATGCTAGATGGATGCTAATGCACTACACGTAACTTGTTTATTCTCTTGTTAATTAGTGACATATTAGCATGCTCAAAGCTAACTTCTTGATGCATGGCCATGGAGACATAATCTACTCATCATGAATAGCAATTACAGTAGCCAAAACATGTCACAATAACATTCAATAACATGTACACGGCAACACATAAGCATACAACATCAAGCAATGAAAATAGATAAGTTCACTACCTTGCACCTCAAGCTTTCCTCTTACTTTTTCCTTTGACTCCCTTGACTTTCCAACCATGTGGGCATTCGGTTAATATCATCAAACATCCTCTTAGATATTTCAAAGGTCCTAAACATAGTCACATTGATCATACAATCTATTAGGACCTCTAGATTACATAAAGTTCAAGACTAGCTCTCTTGAACCTCAACCCTTTCTCTTGCTTTTAGGGTTTTCTTTCTAGCTTTTCTAATATAAATCTCCTCATTTCCCATCCTTAAGATCTATTTCTTGTCAATTAGGACCACTTTAGATGGCCTTAGATTCAAGAAGATCAAATCTGAAAATTTTGGTTCGCAGGTACTGTTCACGCAGAAACTCCAGAATTTTTGCTCAACTTTGAAAATTCATAATTAATTCTATAAAAATCAAAATTGAGTGGTTCTAAGTCCCACTGAAAGCTCATTAAGTTAAATTTAAATAAAAAATAGTTTCATGAACCAATTCTACGCTTAACAGTACCAGAATCATACGGAACTTGACACTCTTCCAAAAGTTCAACACTGTTTCCAGATTTCAATCTCTAACTTTGAAAAATCACCATAAATCGTACACATATCCAAATAAAGTGTTCTACCCATGGATTTAAATCTTACAGAGTGTACTTTAAGCATGCCAAATTTCAGAATCAGTTACAAAAATTAACTTATTCAAAACAGGCATCAAATCATCACATAATTCTTCCAATTTCCACATAGATGCACTTGAAACAACCTCTAATCAATGTGTTCTAACCAAGTTTAACATCAAAATCATCCTCCTTTAACTCTTATTAATTTCAGCCAGCACCTTGCCCTAAGGGAAACCAAACTTTTCAACCATAAAAACCAAAGATTCAAAGCAAGAAACAAGAGGAAACAACTTACTAACCTTAGATCTAAACCTAGTTGATCAAAGTAGGTGTC